ACAAAGGTCCCCACCCTTAGAGTACAGCACATTTTGTCAGATGATTACTCAGGCTTTTCTCTCCCACAGCCCAGAGGTTCTGCTCCTGGCCAGGTTCTGTTTCCCAGGGGCTCTGGCCTACAATTTCCCAGCCAGGGGTGGTGGGGTGGGGTGGGGTGGAAGGAAAGGGCAGGGCTGATTAGTTAGAAGTTTCACCTTCTTTCTTTGTCCTCTGTCCCCAAACTTGGCAATGCCCCTTAGGCCCTAGAGCCTCCAATTGGCACCAGTTGTGCTGGTTTTGCCTCAATCTGTCTGTCTGTTTGATGTGCGGCTGCTAGCGTGAATACCGTGACTACTGGGCAGTAATCAGGTGTGCGTTTTTGCAGTGGCTCTTGCATCAGAGACTTTATAATGGTTTAGAGAACAGGGCTCCCCGCATCTCCCTCACAAACACAGATGTAGGTACATGTCCCTCCTAGCACTCCTGATCTCCTTTCTTGTAGTACCCAGCACTGTTACTGGGATCAGTTGGCCAGATTCTCTGCTGGTGTCAATCAGCATCATGCCATTGACTTCAATGGAGCTTCCCCAGTTGACACCAGCTGGAGATCTGGCCCCAGCGACTTTGGGGTAGTAAGTAAAACTGCATTATGGGATAGAATGGGGAGGTATGGCTGAGCTGCTGCCGCTGCAAATGCTTTGTGTACATGGAGGAGTGAGAACTGCTGCAGACTGCAACCAGTTTAGCCAGACCTGAGGGCTAGACTTTGCCCTGGTTGTGGCAACCCAGGCTTGCAAGATGTCTGGGACAGCTGCTGTGCGTGAATGTACGTTGTTGCAGACGCCGAGTACACCAAACGCTGTTTTGCTTAGGGCCTGGAGAGAACTTGGGCAGAGAAGCTTGGAATTAGGAAGGGGAAGACAGAGATCCAGGGGAAGGGACAAACAGGCTGCAGCGGTCTGATCTGCCATTGTTGCAGAGCCCAGGAACATAACTGCATGCACTTTTTAAATTTATTTAGCCCTCTACTTATGGGGAAGGTGGTGCCGGGATCTAATCCCACTTCCAAGGAGCACCACACCATCTTGGGTTTGCAAAGGGCTTTCTAGGGCCTCGCAAGCTGTTACCAGCTTCCCTTTTGTGCAGGGAGCAGCATGGGGCTGGATTTAAGGCTGATCTCTTAAAGTCTTCATCTAATCCAGAGCAAATAAACCAGAGGTTTGGAACTGCGCAGCATCTCTCAGGGAAACCTGGTGCCTCTTGGGAGGCGTGGGCCCCCCTAGCTAGGGACTCCCCAGTTCTGGCCTCCGGAGCATCAGAGAAAATGCAATATTTGCTGGGCAGCAGGGGGGTTAGCACCTGCTCTGCGGAGGATCCCCTTACTGGGTGCCTGATCAGAAAGGCCAAGCCTGCTTCCGGGGCCGCTGTGACATTCCGACATGTTTCTAAAAGTCTCCTGTCTGAGCAAAATTCGCCACTTAAAGGCAGCCTAGTATTTCTGTATCCCTCAGGGCTATTGATTATTAAAGTCTATGGGGCCAGACCCCCACCTGACATAAATCAGCATAGCTCCATTTCCCGTCCATGAGCCGGGGCTATCGATGCTAGCTGGGCTCTAACTCTGTGTGGGTATGTGATTGCGTTGTGCGAATATATGCGTGTGGGGGTATTTGCATGGCATGTGTGTGTGTGTATATCTGTTTAGCTATATGTGCTAGGGACTTACCTGGGCCCCTATGACCGTAATACCCTCACAAACCTGAATGTGTTTATAGCGTATACACAAGAGCAGAAGCTCCTCGTATAGTCAGCCTCTTCCTGCTCGTTAGTTGGTTCAGCACTGTTACAATGCAGCATCTGAGACCCATGCGCAAAAGTAGTTACTGCCTTCAAGGGTTTGATGGTAGCTGTTTAGTAGGGCTGTCCTTGAATGATGGTTGCACCGTTGCCTGTTAAGGCTAGGGTTGCATGCACTGGGTTTCGTACTGTAGCCGGGGTTTCTTGTGAGCAGTGGGAGCCACACACTGGCTTGTTATCGTAGGGTTGCTTGCGAGCGGGCCAGGCTGTATACGTTTTCTTTTTTGGAATACAAGCACTGAAGCATTTGGAGCCAGGTTTTTCAGAAGAGCCCAGCAGGCTAGGGGGGCCCTTGAGTGCTAAGTCTTTGGAAAATCTGGCCATCGCTGTGGAATGCCTCCTTTGCACATGGTGTAGGAAGAGGTTTGTTTTCAAAAATTGGGCTTTCAGTTATGTGCCGCAAAAAGCCCTCAGGAAATGTTGGCCTTTTGGGATTCTGAGGCCAGAAAGGAGCAGCGGGATGGCATAGTGGTCAGTGCATAGGATTTGGCGCCAGGACCTCCTGTGGTCTAACCCCAACTCCGCCACTTATTTTGCATGACCTTGGGCAAGTCGTTTAATCCCCCAGTGCCTCCGTTGCCCTATATTTACTGCAGGGGGCCAGGACTTGACTTCAATGGAGAAATGATTTACAGTAGTGGAGGCCCTGGCCCAAGGATAATAAAACTTCCCTCCTGGGGATAATTGGGGAACCTTTGTGAAGCACATGGGAGATGCAAGGCCCCGGGGAAGTGTTAAACATTGCTGCTGTTAAAATCGTTGCAGACTTCGTTCCTGGCTTTGTCTGAAGGATGAGTTTAACTGTAACAATGTAAATCTTCCAGATGTCTCCTCCTTCCTCCCATCCCCACCCTTTCCACTGGCAAATCTGTGGTTAATGGAGTCTAGCTTGCGGCTATTAATGACATTTAATTATCTCTTATTTACCAGCCATCACTGACTGCAGGGAGTGGACATGAGACCAGCCCATTCGCTAGAAGCAGCAGAATGGCAATGAAATTTTCTTGGCACGTTGAAAAATGTACAAAGATAGTAACACGCAGTACAGAACACTTTGGTAAATAACATCTCTCCTACACAAAGGATACGTTTATTTGGTTAGAAGGGCTTGAATAAACTCAGGAGATTCACCGTTTCATCCTTCGTGTTAAAGGAACCCAATGAAGTATCTTCATTGCTATTTTTCTCTTGCTGCTTTTTTTTTTTATATAATACCCACTGGGAAACATCGCACTGAAATCTGCTTACCCACCAATGTTTTCCCATCCTCCAGTGTACGTTGGTTTGTTTATTGCAGGGTCGCTTGTGTGCTGGCCTGCTGCACGGACTGATTTGTTTTTGTAGGGTCACTTTGGAGCAATGGCCCACAAGTACACACGCTGCTTTGTTATGTAGGGTCACGTGAGTGTGCCATTATTACTGTTCATTATTTGTATTACAGGAGTGACCGTCATGGCGCCAGTGTGCTAGGTGCTGTATAAACAGAACAAAAAGACGGTCCCTGCCCCCAAAGCGCTTACAGTCTGTGATCTGTGTGCACTGGTTTGTTTTTGTGGGATCACTCATGTGTTGAGCTGGATGGTCTGGTTTATTATGGTAGGATCGATTGGCATTACCCGGCTGTGTACGCTGCTTTGTTATTGTAGGGTCCCTTACCAGCACTGGATTGCTGTATTTTGAGAAAAAGAGCAGGGAATCATTTGTTGGGGAGGGAGGAGGGGGAAAGGTGGAAAATCCCCATACAAAGAAAGACACGGGCCGTGCAAACAGCTATACAATTGACCCCAACGGTGCCCTTTTAATGGCACACTCATTTCAGAGGGCTCTTTTCTTTAAAGCCTCAGGACTCCTCTCAGGGCACTATCAGGCTTTCTCTTTTGATGGAGACATTTCCCGCGGTTGCCATGGAAATTCAGCAGGCTCCTCCTCTTCTCTGCAGAGTCCAGGGCTCCCTGTGTGCAGGAGACAGATGGAACTGGGCTTTTAAACATGTGCTCTGGAAAGAAAAGAACAAGTGCAAAAAGTTCATGCCAACGGGGATTGAAGGGGTTCGTGGCCAGGAGCCATCACCTGCCGTGTGCCCTGTCATCCGATTCATAGATTCCAAGGCCAGAAGGGACCAATGTGATCATCTAGCTGATCGCACGTATAACAGACCAAAGAACTGCCCCCCCAATAATTCCCAGAGCAGATCTGTTAGAAAAACAGCCAATCTTGATTTTAAAAATTGTTGGCAATGGAGAATCCACCGCGACCCTTGGTAAATTGTTCCAGGGGTGAATTACTCTCACCATTAAAAATGTTTATGCCGCGTTTCCAGTCTGATGGAAACGGTGCCAGGGATTCTGAAATCAGAGGGTCTCCTCATGGAAGTGACATGAACAATGGGGTGCCTGCCTTATAACTGGGGCTCAGTCTAATCGCCAGCCACTCTGTGCAGGGTTTTTATACCATGCTCATCCCTGTGGGATCTGTGCTGCCAGAAATGCCAGTGCCTCACTCATTTAGGGTTTGAACTACTGTTGGTGTCATTGGCTTTCGGATCAAGCCCCTAATGACTGGAGATCTCATGACGATGGCATTGTAATTGTGTGAGCTGCCCTTGGGTGCAATAGTAGTGGATACACCGAGGCCTAGATCTTGTTAGAGAATCCCCATGGGGAGAGCAGTGTTCTTCAGGACAACACTCTCAGGCTAGGTCTACACTGGGGGAGGGGGTCGACCTAAGATATGCAACTTCAGCTATGCAAACAGCGTAGCTAAAGTCGGCGTATCTTAGGTCGATTTACCTGGCCGTGAGGACGGCGGTGAGTTGACCGCTGCCGCTCCTCCGTCGACTCCGCTTCTGCCTCTCCCCGCGGTGGAGTTCCGGAGTCGACAGCAGAGCGATCGGGGATCAATTTTATCGCCTCTACACTAGACGCGATAGATCGATCGCTATCCGCCGATCTGGCAGGTAGTGTAGACGTTCCTTTAGCCCCGGTCTACGATAGGGACCAGGCTTACAAAGGGATTTAGGCACCTAACGATGCAACAAGGCACCTAGTGAAAAACACCTAAGCAGGTTACATGGCTAACTCCCAGTGACATCAAATGGGATTTCTGTGCCAAACCTGCATAGGTGCTTTTAGATAAATCTCACTAGGTGCCTAGTTGCATCATTACATGACTAAATCCCTTTGTAAACCTGGCCCTAGGTGAAAAGATATTGCAGCAAGCCAGGATTTGGAATCCCTTGCAATGACTCAAATCCACCCAACAGCCATGCTAGGGGCTTTACAAGGCTCTGAGCCGTAGCAAAGTCAAGAGAGAACCAACCGTTTTGTGGAGTCCAGCGGCCCTGCAACAGTTTCCTTGCTTGGTGTAGATGTGCCCTGCGCCTGCTGGTGACGTGAAGCCCATGTAAAGGGCTGCTCTGTTGGTTACACTCAGATCATTTTTTTTTAATTTATTATTATTGTTGTTGATTTGTATTATTGCAGTGCCTTTGACTCCTAGTCCCAGACCAGGACCCCACCGCGCTAGGTGCTGTACAAACACAGAACAAAAAGATGGTCCCTGCCCCACTAGGATGGGCCTTGTCTCTGTTATTTTAACTGGTAGGAGTTTGGAGGCCCAGCTTGGAGCAGAAGCAGTGAGGGGGAATGTTCTGGAGTCCAACCTCTGCCTGAGATGCAGGGCTCTGTCTAACCCTGCCACAAGCAGCATCTCTCCTGCCCTGCGTTGCCCAGTGATGGGGAACGGCTGTGCCCGCTAATGCTCAGGTTCTTGGCAGAGATGCTCTCCCCGTCCAAGGCAGGGTGCTCAGAAACCAGATTCCCCAGGCACACTCCCGTCTCTGGTTGTGTGTCCATTTCTTCCCGAGGAATGTGCAGTTCCCCACCCAAGGCTGATGGCTTCATTGTCCCAAACAGGCTTCAGCTCACCCCCCCCCCCACCCCAGCCAACTGTGGCAAGGGGCTTATTTACTTCACACCATTTTCCTTCCTACCCCCTCCAGAAAGTTACCACCCTGATCAAGGATGACTCTCCCTCACGTTTGGTATCTGATCGTTCCAGGCAGATCGGCTTTTCCCCACTCCCCTTCTACCCCCTGATTGCCAAATGACCCAGAAGCAAAGGAGTCACCCGGGCCTGTGAAGAACTATTTAACCTGTTTTCATCTGGGGGTCTCTTCGGGCGTCGAGTGGCTCTTTTGGAGGCTTCTTTCCCACTAACAGGCTTAGCTTTCCCCCTTTGTGCCTGACCACTGGGCAGAAAGGCAGGAATTCTTATCAAGCCCCAGCCCCTTCTGACTGGTGCTTGTTGGTTTGTTTCTCTCTCCACCCCTTGGTGGCTGACAGACTTGGAGACGCACCCGGGCAGAGTGATGGGCAGCGCAGGCCAGGGGCTGACCGCTCTGCCTCACGGCCGGATCGCCCCACAGGACGCCCTGCTGCTGACCAGCCTGGAGAAGACCCCCGCCGCACAAGACCCCGATACCCGGAGCTGGAGCTCCCTGGACAGCCCCAGCCCCCCTGCCACGCCCGAGCAGACCCTGCCCACTTTCTATCTCCACTACTTCGATATGCTCTACTCAGAGGACACCAGCTGGGTGCCCAAGGGCCTGGGGGAGACTCCTCAGGGCAGTGGCCAAGGAGGCAGGGGCGAAGGGCAGAAGGAGCCGGAGCAGTGCCCCATCATCGACAGCCAGGGCTTGGGGCTGAGCCCCGACATGGACTACCAGGAGAGCCTCCACTTAGAGGAGCACTCGCTGGAGCAGGTGCAGAGCATGGTGGTGGGCGAAGTGCTAAAGGACATCGAGACGGCTTGCAAGCTCCTCAACATTGCAGCAGGTGGGTGCCCCTTCTGTCTCTCCACTTTTGCGCTGGGGGTGTGTGTGTGGGGGGGGGATTTAAGGGGCCAAGGAGAGCTCAGTGCCTTGTTGTGGGGAGACCGGAGGCTCAGGGGGCTCCAGACTGAGTTGTGGAGCTTGTCACCTCTTGCTTGCTGGTTCGGATTCAGCTCGGCAGCAGGTGAAAAGCATTGTTGGCTCTTGGTCCGGGATGTCCATGGAGTGGCTTGAGAGTTCCTGGCCCTCCACAGTTACCAGAGAGCACCAGGATGTGCTATGTACGCTAGTATCCACAGGGCAGCCGGCATTAACAGCTGGACCCAAAGCCCTTGGAAGGCAGTGGGAGTGTTTCTGTTGTCCTCAGTGAGCTTTGGGTCAGGTCCTAATTGTCCCCCTTGTGGGCACTCTCAGCAGAGAGGCCAAAGACTGACTGGGCCATGGAGGCTGGGCTCCTTCCTCACCCTTCGCTGGGATTCCTCCAGGGCAGGCTGAGTCACGTTTCCAGGGGCCGGGGATGTCGAAGGAAAGACACCCCCACTGGCCTCTGTGGCCTTCCCTGGCACAACACTCCTCAAGCAAAAACAGCCACGCGGATTCCTTTTTTCTGTTCAAAGCCTTTTATTTGACAGCAATTTAAATCATCAAACCATTCTGCTGGGTTGCGACAGAGTGAGTGGGGTGTGAGTGAGGCCCTGAGAGGGCAGCATCTGGCACATCTGGATCCCAGCAGTGCCACTGCCAAAAGTTTTCAAACAGGTAGGGGCTGGGGGTGGAAGAGTCTGAGGCCTGATCTCCACCTAAAACTTAGGTCGGTCTAGCTGCATTGCCCAAGGCTGTGAAAAATTTCACACTCAGAGCACTGTAGTTGGGTCGGCTTAACCCCCAGTGTAGGATTCTTCCAACAACCACTGGAAAGGTGGATGACCTACATCAAGAGAAAACCCCCTTCTGTTGATGTAGGAAGCATTTACGCTACAGTGCGGCAGTGCCGTAATTCTGCTGCTGTAGTAGCAAGAGTGTAGACGTGGCCTCATAGGTCCTAAATTAGACTTCTAGATGCTTCCCACTAGCAGAATATTCTGGTCTCCCCAGAGGCCAGGGCAGCTGGATTCATAGGGACTAGCAGGTTTTCCCCATCTCCCATGTCTATGATAATGTGAAATATATTTCACTGGGTTGCAGGGGGAATCTCTTCCCCGGGGGTGAGAAGTTTCTTTGAAGTCATGTGTGTTAAGCAAGTGGATGGCAGGTCAGGAAGGGAGCAGCCGAATGGGTGGGTCGTTCGTTTGTTCTTTCTTTCTTTCTAATTTCCCACTTGGGAGAGCTGGTGGTGGAATGTTGAGTGTCTAACAGAACTGTCCTCTCAGGTGATTCTTCTGGGGTGGTGGTGGGGAAGGGGATGGAACCTGCTTTTCTTGACATCAATGGTAAAACTGCTAGTGACACCAACAGGAAGCAGGGTTGGGCTGCAGAGGTGTGAAAGTGAAACCACATGCACAGGGGGGAGAAAAAAAAGTCATGCCAGGGAATCGTGGCGTGGTGGGAAGGGACCAAAACCCCCCCTCCCCCCGATGCGAATACCCTTGATTTATAGTGTGGGGGCTGAGAATCTGGACCCAAACGTTGCATTGTGGTTCGTACCTGTCTCTAAAATCATCCGGCGCACGTGTTTAAATGCAATGGCATGGGATATCGGGGGAAGTGCCTTTGAGTTACAAGCAGCCTACAGCAGGGTTGCAGCCATCTGGCCCCAGTCCTGACAGGATTTAGTATGAACCAAAATGAGCAATCTGATCTTCAGAGGAGCCTGAGCTGCCTCCTGTCTGAATCAATGGGCATTTTCTCACTGAATTCAGTGGGAGCAGGAGCAGGGCCTTCTCGCTCCAATGGTGCAAAAGTGCACCGTGCACATCCTCTCTGAAGAGCCAAACCCAGCAGCGAGCTCGGGACCCTGCAAACAGCACCTCGTTGACCCAGATCCGCAACTGACAGTGCTGTCAGCGATGGGGTTTGGGAGCCGGGGCCTGTAGGAGAAGTGGCTGGAGCCAGAAACAGAGAGTCCCAGCTAGATCATGAAAACCATGCTGAGCATTTTAACCCCTGCCTTGCACTGACTGCAAAGGACTCTGCAAGGTGCACTGGGACAGAGAGCAAAGGTGGCAAAGTCTCCAGTAGTAATGCACAGCCACTGGGGGCAGGTATGTTTGGTTTACTAGGATGAGTTCCTCTGGCATGAGGAACTTCGGGCCAGCTCCTTAGCTGGTGTAAATCAATGGAGCTATGTGAATTTACACCCTTTGAGGATCTCCCCATATATTTGGAGGGAGCAGTGTCTAAAATAGCTCACAGGGTTTCTACCTCTAATGCTGGAGCGGGGCCTGAACCGGAATCACAGATCCAAACTCTTTGGGCTTGGAAGCTCAGAACCATGGCAGAACTCTGGCTGGTCTCTCTCTGCATTTGAAATATTTTGTATCCTGTGGAGTTTCTTAAGCATCTATAAAGCTACTGGATCGAGGCATTAAGAACATTGGTCCAATTGGCAGTCAGCGTGGCTATGCTGATTTCCATCCACTGAAGCCTTGAACCTTGCAGCATGTGGGAAGGTGATTTGCTCTATTACGTGTGTGCATGCAGTAGGCACTTGCTGGGTGCATAGCCTTGCTGGGCGCCCCGAGCCAGGTGCTCTTCCAGAGGGCGTCGCTGTTTCACAAACAGTGGCAATGGGGAACAAAGTGATTTGGCACGCGGAGGATAAATGTGCCCCTTTAGGAGAACCAGCCCTTCGGACAGGTCACGCTGCTGTTGCTTCCCCCGTGGGCACGTGGTCCGTCTTCTTCTCCTGACTGGATTGTTCATTTGAAAGTGCGCTTGCTGGGCTTGGTGCAAAGAGACTCGCTCCTTACGGCCGGGCCTGCACTGGGGAGGCTCCCCTGTGCTGTAGGTGAAGGGTGCTTCTGATGCTCCCTTCCCCTGCCCCCACACCCCCATGATCTGTGGGTTTTGAGATCTGTTGACTGGGGTTGAAGTCTCTCCCAGTAGAGGCAGGGACTTTCTGCAGGTGGGGCGTTCCCCTGGCAGGAAAGGGATCTGGTTCCCAAGGGGATGGGACAAAGAAGGAGGCAGGGAACCCAGGAGAGGATCAAAGATCCATGTTTCCAGTGGTTGAAGTAGATTGAAACTGGAGGGGTAGTTTCCTTGCCCCAGCCATGCAGGAGGGGGAACAGGCAGGGAGTACTGCTCCTCAGCTCCCTTGTCCTTTTAGCATGGGAGGGGTGCAGTGTTCTCTGTTACTGTAACCCTTGCAGAGTGTTCTCTGGAGGAGAAGTGTCCCCCGACCCTGCTCACCAGGGCTGGGCGGGGCGTTTTGTTTCTCATCCACAGATCCGGCGGACTGGAGTCCAGGAAACGTCCAGAAGTGGATCCTATGGACTGAGCACCAGTACCGACTGCCCCAGATCGGGAAATCTTTCCAGGACCTGTCTGGGAAGGATCTGTGTGCCATGTCAGAGGAGCAGTTCCGTCAGCGCTCCCTGGTGTGCGGGGACGTGCTGCACGCCCACCTGGACATCTGGAAATCAGGTACATGCCGGCAAGTTGGAGGAGGCGGGGTGAGCGCGGCAAAGTTTCCTTAACCGTGTTATCCGTGGGAACAATGCGCTTTGTAGCGGGTGGATTCTGCTCCCCCTCACCTGATGCTCATGCCCTTCCCTTCTAGCTGCCTGGATGAAGGAGAAGGCTGCGCCCGGAGAAGTGCGGTACTGTGGTGAGTTCCCACCTTTGCCAAGGACAGGAAGCGAGGAGGGGTAGGAGGGAAGCTGGGGGTGCAGCAGGAGGGTCAATGAACCAATGATTCAGTGACTGGGTCCCCAGTTATTTCAGGGGTTGCTTCTCTCTTAATCAGGACCAATATGTTAATCGTAATTAAGTCTCAGAGTGGTAATTATAATACACTGTTTATTAGTCAATAATAGCCTGGTTAATTAGTCAATAATGTGTCTGGTTAATAACAAGCCCAAAGGGGAAATGACTATCAGATCTATCCCAGATACTTATATAGCCCTCATTACCCTGATATCAGAGTGCCTCACAATCTGGTGTGTATTTATTATTAATGTATTATTACTGTAGCACTCAGGAGTGCCAGCCACGGGACTGTGCTGTGCTAGGCGCCGAACAAATACAGAACAAAAAGATGGTCCCAATCCCAAAGAGCTGATAATCTCAGTCTTTACAACACTTCTGGGAGGCAGGGCAGGGCTATTATCCCCACGTTACAGCTGGGGAACTGAGGCACAGAAAGGCTAAGTGACTTGCCCAGGTTCACACGGGAAGACTGTGGCAGAGTAGGGAACTCAGCCTGGGATTCCCAAGTTGCAGGCTATTGCCCTGCCCACTGAACCATCCTTCCTCTCATCAGACGGCAGCCATTTTTGGCCACTGATGAGTCGTGATGACCTGGGCAAGCTGAAGAGGAAAGACTCCCTCTGTTCCCAGTCCCCAGAGCCACTTGCTCCTCTGCTGGTAGCGACTGACTAACAGCTGGCATGTGCTTCCTTTCTGCCGCAGCGGGTGACGAGAGCTGGACGGATAGCGAGGTGGACTCCTCCTGCTCAGGCCAGCCCATCCACCTATGGCAGTTCCTCAAAGAGCTTTTGCTGAAGCCTCATCACTATGGACGGTTCATTCGCTGGCTCAATAAGGAGAAAGGTGAGGGCTGTTGACTCCTCCTGGGGAACTCAAAGCCATATTTTGTATCTATGCCATAACCCCCCTAGGCCCCACAGTGTTGAGTCTCCTAGCACGAGTATTCACCCCGGCAGGTGCTCCAACCCAAAGCTCTCTGGGCCAGATTCTGCTGTTGTCATTCCGTCAGTCCACAGGGCCAGATTTTCTGCCCTGCTCTTCTCTTTGCACCCAGAAAATCAAGCCCAGTGACTCCCAGTTTACACTGCTGTGAGTGAGATCAGAATGAGGCGCTATGCCTGGGTGTCTCCCTGTCTGTATGACTAAGGTACTCATTGCCATAGACACAAATCTGAGTCTCCCATTATCTTCCCCCAAACTCTATCCCTCAGTGAGTTTGTGGGAACCAAAGCTCTATTTTCCGTTCCCTAAACTTCCTTCCTGGTGAAACTGGGCTCCTGATCCTGGATTCCTGTAGTGCCTAGATCAAAGCCCGAGCTCTGCATGTTGTGGGTGTGTCTACCCAGCGCATGGCAGCAGGTCTCTGAGCTCGGGTCAACAGGCGTAGGCTCATGGGGCTCACCCTACTGTAGACGTGTAGCTATGTTGCAGCCTAGTCCGTGAGTCCAACGCCCCCTGCCCTAGGCTTCCGAGTCCAATGCTTTTGATTTAGTTGGGGATTGGTCCTGCTTTGAGCAGGGGATTGGATTTGATGACCTTCTGAGGTCCCTTCCAACCCTGATCTTCTATGATTCTATGCTGATCGTCTTCACAGCTGTTCTTAGCATGAACCATGTGAGCCTGAGTTTGCCGAGCTGGGCTCGGAGGTTCACTGCCGCTGTCTGTGTTAGACACGTCCACAGAGTCCCTGCCCCAAAGACTTTACAAGGCAGATGAAGGGTGTGAGGGGAAATGGCCACATGGAAAGTGGGAATCACTTGTCAGCGTCCACCCAGCAGAGCCGTGTCAGAGCTGGGACTAGAACCCAAGTTTTGCCAAGTCCTGTGCTCTGCCCACTAGACTATGCTGCTTCTCAGTGTCCCTGGGATTGGTCCTGCTTTGAACAGGGGGTTGGACTAGATGGACTAGACTCCTGAGGTCCCTTCCAACCCTGATATTCTATGATTCAACTCCCATCCTGTATTATTGCCTCCTTTTTCTCTGCTTGTTCCTCTCTCAGGCATATTCAAGATCGAGGACTCTGCCCAGGTGGCTCGTTTATGGGGAATCCGGAAGAACCGGCCCGCCATGAACTATGACAAGCTGAGCCGCTCCATCCGGCAGTATTACAAGAAAGGGATCATCCGGAAACCTGACATCTCCCAGCGCCTGGTCTATCAGTTTGTCCACCCCGTCTGAGAAGGGGTCAGGAGCAGGGGAACGGACTGACCTCCCGGTGGGATCCCTATAACCACAGCACCTCCCACCCCCTTCCAAAAAGAGATCCACCTTTGATAATAAAGATGAAGTCTAGGGTTGTGCAAGAGGCTGGAAATTCATCAAACTTGCAGGATGAACTTCAGAGCTTCCAACCTCCCCCAGGCTACAAAGCGTGTGTGTTGGGGGAAGAACCCCCGCCTAGCAATGGACTGCCTGCGAAATAGAGTGTATACATTTAATTCTGGGGCCAATGAGTTTGTGTAGAAAGCCCCCTTCTCCCCCTAAAGCTGTGGTGTGAGGGGGGCACAACAATTGGGTGGGGTGGGGGGGCGAGGGGATGCTGCCTGGAAGCAACGTCGAACCAATAGAAGTTACGTCTGACTGTTGTGGATGAGGTTCATTTTTCTCCCCCAGCTTTTCAAGTCTTTGGCTGTGCGAGAGGCACCACTAGACCAGATGCCACTTAGCAGAGATTTATGGCACGTTGGAGGTCACACAGCATAGCAGCTGGGCGTAAAACCCAGGAGTCCTGTCCACACGTGGGAACATAGGAGTTGTCATACTGCATCAGACCACTGGTCCTTGTTTCTGAGCCTGGCCGGCCACCCCTGCTTTAGTGAAAGGTGCCGGTACCCCTGCAGTGATGGGTAACTTGCCCCCTGGGGAAGTTTCTTCCTGATCCCCATCAGTTAGAGACGGTCGTGTACCCTGAAGATTGATAAGAGACCCACACACACACACACACACACACACTGCACAACATCTAGTGATAATCAGATTCGGCCTCTCTTCGTCGATGCTTCCAGGTGGGGAGCTTGAGTTGTCCTGAAATATCCCAAGGATATCGTCATGGCAATTCTACTGGTTTTGCTTTTTCCTGATCTGAAGCCGTTCTCTGAGCATGGAAGAGAGGTAATTCCCCACCCCCCTCAGCCAGTCCAGAGCCTTTCTTTAATGGGACAACTCCCTCACCAATAGCCTAACTGAAATCTGTTCCTTCTATCCTTCCCTGGGCTAGAAAAGTAGCTGGTCAGTCCAATCATTAACTGGCGATGTCTCTTCTTGGTGGGGGCAAGGATAGAACGATAGCCAGAAAGTGCTTGCCACTAAGGCAGTCTTCCCCCAACACTTGCTATATGCATGTGATCAACTAGGCAATGCCCCCAGCCTTGTGTGGCAGTGGAGGGATGCCCCAGTGTGACAGGGCTCTGCGAGCCGGCAGAGAGCAGCAATGCTCTGGTGTAGACGACTGCCAGAAGGACTGAGGGTTATCGGCTGGAGACGCTGCAGCTGAAGCGTTCGCCTCCCTGGTTGGCTCGTTTGGAGGTGGGTCGGCAGTAGGAAGCAGTGGAATTGTCCAGTAACGTGTGATGCTGGGTTAGCAGCTGCATAACTGGCTGGTGTGTCCAAGAACCTCTCAAGCGTCCTGCTTCTCTTCCTTATGGAGAAGCAGTTCTGAAGCACATGCCTTGCTATTCTGGGAAAATCGCTTCGACGAGTTCATCATGTCCGACTGGCCCTCTGAGACATGCAGTGGGCAGCTTCCCTTTTTCTGGGTGCCATTATTCCTTAGCACCATTTTAATACTTCAGGACTAGATTCTGAACTTAGTTAGGCTGGTATAAACCGGGAGTAGCTCTCTGAGCTTCAACCGGGTTACTCTGGATTCACACTGCTGTAAATGAGATCAGAATCTGGCCCAAATGTTTTGGAGTCAAGTTCTGCTACTCCCTCTCCAGTTCGTCTCCCATTGCCTTTGGCAAAAGCAGCACCAGCTGTAAACCAAAGACAAGTGTGGCTGATCATGGGGTGGGCTCTAACTCGGGGATTGCCTAACTGGGCCAAACCCCGGACACCCGACTCAGATCTGAAGCGACTGAACTAGCCAGTTTCTGGTGCACACTTGAATGGGTGCGGTGACCATTTTCGGGCATTGTGTGTGAAAGGACAAAGTCACCCATGCGCAGGATGTGAGAAAGGCTCATTTGAAAGGAAAGACAATAGGATCGTACACAGCAGCCTTCTGCCAGGGCTCACGCTGACCCGAAGCTGGGACACCCTGGCACTTGGATGCATGAGAAGGCCATCTGGCTGAGCAGCAGGGTAACACCAAAAAGCTCTTCTGGGAAGCATGGAGGCAGCAGACTGTGTAGTATGTTGCTTTGCCCGCTGGACAGGTTGCTGTACCATGGCCAATCTCCTAAGCAAGAGTAGATTGCAAACAGTGGGACCAGTATATCTTGCATCCCTTCTGTGCTGCCCCACTGGGGACAAAATGAAGGCCACTGGGCAGGTTTCCCTTCCTCACCACAACTTGTGGCGTTTATGCCCCAGTTGTGCTAGTTAGTTTCCTAGCGACACCACCATCCTGTTTGTGAAAAATCTGCTGCCTATCCTGGGCAAGCCAAGACTGGAGAAAGATCCAGCCTGCTCTCGGAGCACCGAGTGATCAAAGGTGGGTAGAGCGCAGCACGGCAACTGGGTTGGCTTTTGGTGACCAGAGGTTCAGCTTGTTTTCTAGTAAGGCTGTATTCTGCCTCCTTAATTTGACTGGTGATTAAGGAAATTCACTGGTGTTGAAAGGGGCTGGGGCAGAAAGCCTGAAGACTGACATTATAGCCTGGGTACTAACAAGAAAGTTAGTAACTTTACTTCCAGCTTCAGTCCTGATCTGGCAGTCCCCCTTCTAGCATTGACTAAGGAAGTCATTCTCCATCTGATATGGGCTCTAACTGCAGACTTTGGATCCAGATTTCAAAGTCCCCAAGGTGTTTGAATCTGGGCTTTGTGATTCAGCGCATTATAAAGAATGGAACCATTTGCAAAACTCAGATCAAGGTTTGTTTTCCAACCTCCACTCCCAAAATAGCCAGCGCTTTGGCTCAGCCTGTATGTGGTCTCTCTGCCCCAGTCAGTCTTTCTGCTCAGACTGCCAACTACGAACCAGTTGTGATGGCTGTTCATGTGGTGTATGGACACCTGTCTACTAAGAACTAGACAGAGACCCACTAAACTCATTTCCTACCAGCACTGCACAGGACTTTCTTGACTGCCTTATTCTTGTACCTGTTTTTAAAGGGATTTTTTTTTTACACCTCTGCAATTTACTCCCACAGGGAAACAAATCAACAGAAGCTGACAAGATTATAGTACAATAGAACTTGAACAGAGGGTAGAGGGTTGTTTAAACTGTACATTTCATAACAGGTCAAGTTACCTGGTAATGTTGATCTTTTATATTATAATTTTTTATTTGTTTTCTTTTGGTTTTGGCTGATGAGACGTTGTGGTTCAGGTTCAAATGAAGAGTTTAGAAGGGAGACCAGGATATCTGTAAAATCCTTTGTAAGAGTTTAAAGAAAAATATACGTACATGTTTTGTTTTTGTTTTTTAACTTAAAAGAGCTGCCTGTGTTGGCTGTTGCCTTTGTATTTCCTTCTGATAATTTTGTATTGTTTACATGTCAGAGTAGGAGCTGAAATGCTTCTTAGATTCCCAGCATATGTTGTATCTCATTGCCTTGAAGTTCTGATGCCTTGCGGGGAGGGGGAGACAGCTTTGTATCTTCTGAAAAACCGTGAAATTTGTGTGTATAATGAAAAGGGGAAAAATGGATGTGAACCACGTGGCTAATAGACCCCTCCCCTAGTCGAGGATCGGTCCAGTAACCTCCTCTCTATTACAATGAACAATGGTCTAGTCTGTTTTGGGGTTGTTTTTTTTCAGTTTGCAGTGGGAAGGATGTATGCGGATATGTGCAAAGCAAGTGTTTCCTTGCCTCTGCGTATGAAAACGTGTGCGCGTCCCTATGTGTGTGCAGGGAATGTGCATGTGTGTTTGTGCTCAAGTGTGCACGGTCCCAGAGCGTGTGTGTATGAACGCCGTGGGACAGTAGTAATAAACTCTAAGTGTAGGGAGCAGCTGCTGCTGTCCACCTCGATTTTAGCTATAGCAACACATCAAAGGTAAACAAAGCTGCCTTTCTGCCATTTCTGTAACCCCAGCCCTGCAACTTTTAGTGGTGTCTCAAGTTGGGAACCCATAATCACACGCCAATTTGGTCCCTAGATCCTCCTATGCTTTCCCCCACCCCTTTCCCTTATTGCTAGGGCATAGTGGCACATTCTTGCATGAGGCTGTGTGTGAAAATGTGCACTCACGCCTAGGTGCTGCTTTTGCACAATCAGAGCTCCTGTCCCCCTGGACTACTGCGCCTTTAAGGGAGCAGGTAAGGACACTGCCTAAAGAGGTGACCTAGTGGTGCTTAACACCCCCAATAAAGAGGCAAAACACACCATGCATGAATAAAATAATCCTTTTTCTTTATTACTGTATTTTTTAAGTATTATCTTTTTTTTTCCCCTTTATGGAAGAAGAGGCAGCCTTGCGTGCCAGAAACACACGCTCCTTCTCCTAGTGTAGCTTTGCTCACAGTAACACTGTTAATTACAGCCTCAAGATTGCCCCCCAAGTCCCCAGGGCTCCAATGGGAAACGTTAAGCAAAGGCCATGCCCCCATTTCTGTTTTCTCCCTTGAGAGATGAGTATAGAGCTAGACAGACAGTTAGTGGCATTATCTCAACCGCTGGAAACTCTGTTCCCTTCTATTTGAGCCCTTGATGTCCTCCCCGGCCATAAACCAGCAGCCACCCATTTTAAAGCCTCATAGGTCTGGTCTGCCTTCTCTTAACCCCGCTATTTTCTGGCGTGGTTCGGTCCTGTGGGGAAAGGGGGAGGGTCGAGTGCTTGCAACATTCTTTTGCCAGGGTAAAGGCTTTGCCCTGCGTGCTCTGCCCGTCCCATGACCTTCCATCTAAATATAGAATTAGTCTCCTGGGAGCTGTTTGCTCCCCAGCTGCGAAACTCTTTCCGAGCCTCAGTGAGGGATTGGGTGACCAGCGGCGATGTTCAATGGATTTAGGAGCGAACACCATTCAGTGGAGCAGTCAAGGGGAGGAAGTAGAGGACATGCTCCATGTGGCAGATTAAATATTCTTAAACTGTGCCTGAGAGCCTGTCCTAAAAGTGTCTCAGCTCAGTCCTATTGGGTTACAACCCACTCCAGGAAGCTGTTGGATAATGTAGGGACCACTCCTACAGAGGGGCCTCCAAACTCCGTCTGAGCCCGGTCTGAATTCAGAGTGCTCAGGGCCTCATAGGACTGCGCTCTTACGTTGTGATTCACCCAAGCATTTGGTTTGGGCCTTGTTTGCTCCTTGGGGAGTCTTGGCATCAGGGGAAACTCTCCTGCAAAGGACCTTTACTGAGAGAAGAAGCGTCTGCTTC